GGTCAGACGGCACGCTCCTTGGAGCCACGCTCCGGAACCCTTAACGGTGCGTTTCCCAGGGATGACCTTGGGGTGATTTGGGACATCCCGCAGTCACACGTGGGGTGCATGCTCACGTGGCATGCGTGTGCTGGCTGATTTAGGGCAAGTTTAGCTCCATCTGTTGCTTTTTGGGGATTTTCCCCTTGGCTCGGAGCACGGCAGTGGATGCAGAGGTTGCAGAGAGCAGCGGGGTTTAGCTGCAGGACAGTAGGGCCAGAGGCTATCGGGGCTGAATTGCCCTAAATAAGCTCATCCCTTGGGACCTGACTGACAGCACCGAGCTCTGGTCAGGTTTATTGCTCCGCTCGGTTGAGCTGTTCCCCAGGGACCTCAGCGCCCGCCCGGCTTCCTACGGCCCCTCTGCTCCTGGAGCTGCCCCACGCAGGGTATCTCGGAATAAGCTGGGAGGATGAATTACCTTTTTCTTCCCTCCTTTCCATTTTTCATGGCATCTTCCTGGCTCAGCTGCCGTTAGAGCCTGGAAGCGGTAATTCCCTGTGTTTTACCTCATTCATGCCACGCACAGTCATCGATCCGGATCCACACGGTGCTGCCCAGGAAGGGGTGCAGAGCTGGGTGCTTTTCCCACACCCCTGTGACCTCATGCCTTGGTTTTGTGTCGCAGGGGAAGGAGATGCTGACGCAGAAGCTGCCGCTGTGGCAGCAGTCCTGCTCGGATCCCAACAAGATCCCGGACCGCGCTATCCAGCTGATGCAACAGATGGCTGCCAGCAGCAATGGCACCATTATGCCCAACTCTCTGTCTACATCCAAATCCAACCTCATCATCTCTGACCCCATCCCTGGTGCCAAACCTCTCCCTGTCCCCCCAGAGCTGGCACCTTTTGTAGGAGTAAGTATCTCCGTGGTGGAAGTTGTCCTGCCCTTCTGAGCAAAGCTGGAGGGACGAGCCCGCGCCGGTGTCACCGTTGTCCTCGGCAAGTTGCCTTTGGATGGACTGGCCCTGAGGGGCAGGGATGGGCAGCTCCTGCGCTCGCCGCCCCGGGATGCGGGAAGGAGTACGGCTGACATGGAGATGGGCAGCCGCTCCCATCCCAACCTGGGTTGCTGAGCTCCGGAGGGACAGGGGCTGCCGGGGGGAGGGTTGGGGAACCCATGAGCTGGAATCACCTGGCTGGGCTGGTCCCAGGGTACTCCAGAACTCTGGGCTTAACTCAGTTACCCCAGTAACCGTGGGAGAAGGCACTTGGAATGACCCGTGGGATGAAAGACCCTTCAGAAAAGGGTCTCCGTCATGATGGGGGGGCATGAGCTGAGCGGTAGTGCTCAGGAGGGATTTATCGGGTGCAAGGCAGCTGGGAGCAGCAGCATCCCGTAGGGTGACCCCCCCGGAGCAGTTTCTCTCAGGTGGGGGACTGACCCCAACAGGCTGAAGCTCTGGGCTGCTGCAAACCACCTTCCCGGGGGCTGCGTCCCGCTCCGGGAGCTGCGGCAGGATGCCCTAATGAAGACCTTCCCCATCTCCCCCCTCCCCTCCTCTCTCCGTAGCGCATGTCGGCGCAGGAGGCCATGCCGGTGATGAACGGAGTCTCAGGCCCGGAGAGTGACGGGTACAACCACTGGTCTGAGATGAAGCCAGCACAGCCCAAATCTTTATCTCCTCCCCAGCCTCAGAAGCAGCTGAGCGACTCTTACTCCAATACACTCCCAGTTCGCAAAAACGTGCCACCGAAAAACAGCTACGCGTCAGGTGAGGCTCCGTCCTCCGCGCCGGGTGCTCCCGGGATGCCGGCGGTGCTCGGGGGGGGCAGTGAGCAGGGGCTGGTCGCGGGGAGCAGGTCCTTAGGGGATGGTGGGTCAGTGGCATCGCTCCTGGGGGTTAGGACACCGGGGTCTGCCGTGGGGTTTTTGGCTGGGTGGGTTTCAGCCAATGGGACAGCACTTCCAGGAGGAAAATCTTGAGGGGTCTCACGCTGGGAGGCTGCTCCCTTTGCCGTGGTGGGACCGTGCCATGAGGGATGGCCGGATCCTGCCTGGGATCCCGCTCGTTGAAGTGCGAGTCGGACACTGAGGGTTTTATTGGCCCTTGGGGTAAAACAAGCAGGATTAGGGGCTTGTCCCTGGGTTTGGCTGAGGGGTGAAGGACCTGGGGCACTCATCGGTCTCTGTCTCCCCCCAGCCGAAAACAAGACGCTGCCACGCTCCAGCTCCATGGCTGCAGGGCTCGAGAGGAACGGCAGGACGAGGGTGCAGGCCATTTTCTCTCACGCTGCTGGAGATAACAGCACCCTCCTCAGCTTCAAGGAGGGTGACCTCATCACGCTGCTGGTGCCGGAGGCCAGGGACGGCTGGCATTACGGGGAGAGCGAGAAAACAAAACTGTGAGTGCTGCAGCAAAAAAAAGAGCCGCCTCTGGATCCTCCGCAAATAAACGTGGGGTTGGCTTCATTCCCTGCGTTTTCCTTTCAGGAGGGGCTGGTTTCCTTTCTCCTACACGCGGGTCCTGGACAGCGATGGCAGCGAGAGGGTCCACACGAGGTAGGGGTGCTGCACCGGGTCCCCGTGCCGCAGGGCAGGCTTGGGATGGGAATACTCCGCTTTCCTTGGATGCGGTGCGTGTCGTCAGGAATAACTCCCAGCACAGGGGGGTGGTAGCTGACTCGGGGGGGAGCTTTGGCCATTGGATGGGCAGCCTGGGGGGGTCTTGGTGCAGGATGGGCCAGAGCTGATGCCTCTGCTTTGGGTCCCAGCCTGCAGCAAGGGAAGAGCAGCAGCACCGGGAACTTGCTGGACAAAGATGACATCTCCATCCCGCCGCCCGACTACGGAATGGCCTCCCAAGCCTTCCCGGCACAAGGCGTCAACACCTTCAAGCAGAGGCCGTACAGCGTGGCCGTGCCCGCCTTCTCCCAGGTGAGCCTGTGGGGCAGCGGGGGCTTATCCCACACCGGGGGGGCGGCGGATATTTCTTTATAAACGGGAGATTTTTGAGCAAAAAACCCCCCTCGGGTGTCGGTGGCGGCAGGGG